TATGACTTTTCTAACTCTATTAATGTAAGTATCAAAGATCTTTTTGTAAGGCATAGTTTTGTAGAATTCTTTATCGATTCCACTCATCTCTCGATACCATGAGCCCTCCTTTTGTAGGTCCACATCAATAAAAAAATATTCTCCTTTTTTTGTGTTATGTTGACTAGGGATGCTTGCAAGTGACACATCATTATTTGATCGGCTTGATTGGTGTAGGTGGTGCCACATCATCGCTAATTAAAGTAGGCTCTCATGGCTTGGATGCCACATGTTGAGTCTTAAATAGTTACTTACAATTTAATTGGATGGTATGTGTAAATTTTGATTGGTTATTGGTTCTAGTAATATCATTTTATTAGTTTTAATGAATTCTATAATTTTGGGAAAGACATTCATAAAATAAATTCTGTCCATTAGTATTAGAATTTATTGTTGGTCTGCATCATAGGGTTGAGTTGATTGATCTCACTTCTTGAAGGCTATTACATATTCATAACCATATCATTGAGGAGGTAGATGTTTCCTTGGGATCATCTCTGTCAAAAAGTCCTTTGTGTTACGATCATCAACATGAGTATGTCTATGATCACTTAAATACTCATGTCAATTTGAAGTCTTATTTGAGGATTTACAATCGAATTTTGGATTCCAAACCATACCTAAGATACTCATATTTATAGAGTGAAGGGGTATATTTCTAAAATAAGAAATGTTCTAAAGAATATTCTCTCCTCTAACTCATGTTGATATGGTAGGTCTAACTAATTGGGCTCTGGCGAGTCTTGATTAGTTCAAAATATTAACCATATTATTTGCCTCTATTATATTTTAAAAATATTTATTCATGTGAGAATGTAATGCACATAATAAGAACTCCATACCTATAGCCTGTATTAGAAATCGATAAAAGAGTATCTTATGTACCTTTGCTTAAAGCAAATGTATGAAATGTTGGAAATTGCCTTGGCAGTAAGGGCCACATCAGGGGCATCGAATGCCTTACCCAATTGGGGCATGTTGAGTGCTAAGGAGATGCTTTGCCAGGAGAGCTATGTTAAGCACATTGCATGCTATGCATAGTTAGGATGCATCAAGTGCAGGGAAATACTTTGGTTATAAGGGCTTTGCATTATATAGTTTATTTAATTAGGTCGTAATGAGCAGGGGGAGACACTTTTTCTATATTGACTATGTCAATTGTGTCACATACTTTATCATAATAGGGTACTTAGGAATGGGGAGACACAATGAAGCATCAATATATGCTCACATGACAAACCCAATTAGGGAGCATGACACATGAGGAGATGCACTCGAGCATTGAAGTGTGCCCATATGATTTACATGATTGGCCATGAAAACTACATATCATTTCAAAACTAGATGCATTTTAGATGATTTCCTCAAGATGAATCCCTCGCATCATAAGTGTCATCTCAAAACTAGCATTGCAGTATGCTTGGCATAGTCAAACTAATGTTCAAGTTAGTTCAAAATTTTATACAGGTGTTAAAAAATATAATTTCATATCTTCAATCTTACATGACATAGATATTATTTATAGAATGGAGGGAACTATTCTTAGAATAAGGATATTTTGAAAAGACTCCACTCTAGCTCATGTTGATGTGATGGATAGGATTGATTGGGTTCTACGTCAAATCCTAATTGGCCCAAAATGTTAGTCATATTATTTATCCATTATTATGTTTCAAAAAGACAAATTCATGCCAAAGTGTATGCCTTAGGAATTCGATAGTTATTGTATACATTAAAAATCAATTAAAGAGAGTCTCAATAGCTTTTACTTAAAGTGGATGTGTTAGAGGTTGGAGATGCCTCAGTTATAAGAGTTGTATCAGGCACATTGAGTATCTAGAGGTGCTTTAGCCTCGATGATCGTGTCAAGCATATCTCAAGTTTTGCCTAGTTAGTGCACACCAACTGCAAGAAAATGCATTGACTATGGAGGTTGTGTCATGCTCTTTGCTCGACTAGGACACATCGAGCATGGGGGAGACGAATTACAACAACAAAGCATTACTATATGATTTATCTAATTAAAAAAGTTTGAGATGAGACATATTAAAACGTTATAGTATGACCATATGATTTATCTAATTAGGAAAGATGAGACATGGAGATGAAAAGATTTAGATATAATTTAATTAATTTTGACCACCTATATCATGTATTTAGAAATAGTATCACTTTTCCATTCTTCAGCTATTTTAAATATATTTAGTGTCTTCTAACTATAAGAGACTCAGTTATTTAGTGTAGAAAATACAAGATTATCTAAAGAATTCATGATTCAATTGATTACACAACTTAAAATTATTAAACTAATTTTAAAAGGGTTATAAAATGGTATCATTTTTAAAAACTTTTTAGTTTATTTTATGATTTATCTTAATATTTTAAAATATTATATGTTGATATATTGTATTAATATATTGTATTAAATGAAATTTGAAAATATTTTTATGTTAAAATTTAAATCTTATTTCTCATATTTTTAATATAAATTATTTAATTAAAATTTTAGAACAAATTTGAATTTATTTGGATTGATTCATTAAAACAATTCCGAAAGGTTTTTATCAGACACACTTCTAAATCTAATTTTGTAGGATACTTTGCCAAACCCATTCATCTCTCAACATCAAATTTATAATAAACTTGTTCGAATCCAAGATTGCCTATTTAACCCAATACCTCAAACAAGTAGAATTTACATTAATAAGCTCAAATAAGTCAGTCAAATTCAAAGAGTTCAAAGGTGTGTGCATATGTAGAGATGCCTTCTTTTCTTAGATACATATCGATAAGAATATGAATACTTTTAGATGTCATGTTGATTATGAATACTTGTGTGACACCACATCTCTAAGCATCAAACTTACACTAAACTGGGATGGAATCCAAGATTGGCTATGTAACCCAACACCTCAAACAAGTAGAAGCTACATTAATTAATAGGCTCAATCAAGGAAGCCAGTCAAATTCAAAGAGTTTAGAGGTGTGTGCATATTTAGAGATGCTTTTTTTCATTATATCCAAGTAGCTAAATGGTGCCACATCATTACTGGCTGAAGCAAAGTAAATTGGATGCACCTCTTGAGTTATGATTGGTTGTCAATTCTAATTATATCATTGAAAATAAATTTTATCATTTTTGGAAAGACATTCATAAAATATATATGATCTAAGTTATAGTTTGATTCAACAAATAATAATAATTTAATACTTTTCGATTTTTTTTTCCTTTTTTATTTGTCTGATTCATCAAAAACTAAACCAAAAGATAAAATAAATGGAAGTGTGTAAAAATAGTAAGGATTATAATCCAAGTTCTTATTTTAAATTAATATTTAAGTACATATAAATATTGAAAAACAATATTTTTGTTCTTTTGTAATCATAAAAATAAGAATCTTTTCAGGTATATAAAATGTATAATCCAAATTTTTATTTTTGGATGACATTATTTTGTGGATAATATTAAGTTTAAATGACTTCAAATTTAGTCAACTGCACTATTTTTGGGAAACAATGTAAATAAACCAATCTTTTTTTTTGTTTTGCCTAAAATATACCCACCCACCGAGCCTCATTATCACTATGTAGAATCTGAGCATATTTATATTTATATTTAATTTAATTTAATTAAGAAATGATTATTTATATTATTTTTTGGAAATAGTGTAACTGTCAATTCGAGTGTAAAAGACACACGATTGAGTTCTGTACACTTTCTTCTAGAAAAAGTGTAATCGACTTTTCAGAGACCTTTAGAACATTAAAATTAATTTACTGACTTTAAAAAGAATTATAAATAGTATCATTTTTCTTATGATTATCTATCTTAATATACTAAATTATTTTGAAATATAAATTTCTAAAATTTACTTTAATATGTGCTCTAATTTATTTTTAAATTATTTTAAAAGAATAAATTTGTTTAGTTTAAATTTTAGAATCGATTCAACCGATTCATTGAACCAAATCCGAACTGAACAAAATAAGAAAATGACAAAAAGATGGAAAAGGCAGAAAAGATCCCCTCATCTTTTGAGGGGTAAAATTAAAGAGTTAAAAATAAGGTATTTTACGGAATTAAAAAAACGAAAATTATTTGTTCTTTAGAGATAAATAATTTTTTTTTTTGTGGAAATTCGCGCAAATAGGTACCGTAATTGAAATATGTTTTTGGCCTTTTTCCATCTTCGCTTGACTCTCTATATATATACCCTTCCCTCAGCCCCTTTCCACGCTTCGTTCCCGAGATTACATCGAAGGAAACCGCAAGGAAGGAGACGGCACGACGGTCTGCAACGAAGCCGCCAACAACAACACAGCGGAGCAGACCCCAGATTCCATCTATCGAACAAAGCTCTCGAGTCTTTGATTCCTCCTCCTATTCCCCTTTCCGAAAGATCACTTCAAAGTTCAGAACCTTTTCTTTTCCGTCCCATTTCCGGACCCTTTCCTCGATCTGGGGCCCCGCCTCCTTTCTTTCTCCGCGGGACGCCGGACCCGGTTTTTCGATCGAGACGACGGGGGGTTTCGGTTGGTGGTTGAGGGTTCAGGTGCGGTCTTGAGATCGGATACCTCGGCTGCTGGCTTTGCTCGAGTAAAGGAGGAGGCGCCTTTCTAGTTCTTCGGTTGTGGTTTCTCGAGCCCCGGGATTGATCATGGTTTAGAAAATGCAGGGCTGCACTTGGAAATCTTTCCGGACTTTGCAGTCGAGTCAAATTAGTTGCTTTAGATGAGCTCTGCTGCGAAAAGGGTTTTCAGTTCTTGCCTGTGATTGCTACTCACTGGGCAATTAGCGTTCTTGAGGTGCCATCAAAATGTGATTTTTTTTCTTTTGGAGAAAGAAAATAAGTAGCAGGATTTATGTGACAACTTCACTCGGATGCTTTAGGTTGGTCTTTTGCCTTATTAGAACATAACTTTCCCGATATTTCATTGGGCGTGTGGAATATGTAAACATAATCGTGGGGGAGCACGGCGGTGATCCATTCCCTTACCAGAACAGCTGAACCGAAAACTAAGACTTTCTGGTCAACCATTTCTGGTCAACGAAGGGTCATTTTACGATGTCTCGCTGCTTTCCTTATCCACCACCAGGATATGTAAAGAAGGCGAGGAATGATGCAAGGCGTGACCATGTGGACTCACTGGCAAAGGTGCTTCTTCGATATGTTTATCTAATCTTGTTGAATCTATTAGCCCTCATCTCATAGGTCTTATTTTGTTTGCCTGCCAAGCACATATTACTTCGCTCTTGGTATTTGATAGTGTATGTTAGGAAGCCGATTAATAGGTGTGGGCATGGTTTTGTTTGCCTGCCAATTGCATTGTTCGATATGCTGTCTTGGTTTTTAGTTGATTCTGTGTTCTGATTCAACAAGTTGCGACCACTTACAATAGGTTGAGAAAATTCAGTTGCGCTTTATATATATATATATATATATATATATATATATATATATATATATATATATATATATATATAATCATAGATCCATTATTTTAGAATGCAAATGATAGTCTATTAATAAACTGTTCAAGAAGATTTCACTTACAGTGGCTCTCACATCTGCATGTATTATTGTTGGCCTGCTTTTGAGGCTCTTGTGGATTCAAGATGAGAAATGTTTCCCTAGTTGCACAGTAACTGAATACCCTTGTTCTGCTTACATCTCTATCAAAAACATTGGTAATATTATGGACAATTGAGATCTCTCATTCTGATGGAATGACAGAGGGGTGAGTGTTGGAAAAGTCTGATTCTCACAACAATCTAACCTACATCTGCCGTTATCATAATAATAACAATGATAAGAATGTGTACATCCTGTCGTTGACTTTTGTCACTAGATGTTCTCTTGTAGCTACCAGTCACAGAAGAAATTAGGATAACACATCTTTATTAGACTAGTGAAGTTGCTGCTTCAGCTGTGAGACAGTTTAATGGAGAGGACCTGTAAATTCTTTCTAATAGTTTTGATCTGGTTAAAATTACAAATTCACAGATCAGTTTAGGAAGTAAACCTATTGAACCACTTAATGTTGACCATTTTGCTCGACTGATTTGAAATAAGCAAAGAGTTCAAAATTTTGACATATTAGGATACCAGTGTCAACTTCTTGTTTGACTCATATGTCTTGCTTGATATGTCGACCATTTTTGTAACCGAAAAGTTGTCATTGGATTGCTATGCACTTTGCCAGCAAGATGCACCCTTAAATGGGCTCATGCCCTTACACAAATCCGTTCAGATCATGGTAATTTATATGTGTTTCGTTAAAGAAAGATTTCTGTGTTGAATCTAACAGGTTTAAGTTTATATGTGAGAGTAGTTATTTCAGATTTACCTGAGGGAGATCTGCAAGGCTTTGAATGACAGCTTGTGCATTTTGCTTCTAACATAAAAGCATCTTGATTTATCTACCATGATTTTCTGGGTGATGTTATGTTTTCTCACTTAAGAAGAGAAAAGAGAGACTTTTAACATGATATTTAGCCCCGTTGGTAAAATGATCTTGTTACATGTTTTTTCATGCTTTAATAACTGAGAGAGCTTCAATCTTAGAAATTGTGAAGACATGCATTGATAATTCCCTTCATTTATGAGACTGTTTTCAGTTTTTAATTAATTGTAATGGCGTCTTTTGTCCTATATTTTTTGTTGATGTGAGAATTTAGAATGATGATTTACCTTTTCTTGTGGCTGACTTTTTGTTAACCAAGAAGTGGGCTATCATTTTCAGGCGAAGCAAAAAGAGAAAAAGCATAAAAAGGAGAGAACGGATGAAGAAAAAAGCAAAGATAAAAGGAGGAAGGACAAAGAACTAAGTCAAGATAAACACAAAGAGAAGAACAATCAAAAAGAAAAGCATAAGGACAAGAAAAAGGACAAGGGTGTAAGCAGGACATCTGAAGATGGGACTGAAAAACCGATTCAATCTCACCATGAAGACAGGCTTGGGGGCAGATGGAAAACTATAGAAACCAACCATTGTAAACTTAGTGATGGGTTGGACCGTCAGATCAAAATGGAAGAAAAGGTCTCAGCAAACAGAGTGGTCGATAACTTCACTAGTTCAGTTCAAAGAAGCTCTGATGTATCGGGTACTAAAGCTGCAAAGGTTATTGAAAGAGTTGCAAGTAATAAAGTTATTCCTGCTTCCATGGATTCCTTGACAAGCAGAATTAATGGGATGGGAAGACCAGCAGACAGAGTCCTAAATTCAATTCAAAGTCAGGCTGAGGTCCTTCGATCTGCAAACGCAATTCAAAGAGAAAGAAATGCAGCTAACAAGTTGGTTTCAAACCTCACTCATCTTGAGCAAACAGGAGATGCTGGTAAGGGTCAACCAGTAAATAACTCTAGGGTTTCTATTCAACAAAAAACTGATGGTCCATATGTTGCTGCTGTGGGAAAAAAGGAAAACTGCAAACAGAACAAAGCCCTTACAGATCCCAGTAGCACAATGCAAAGATCATTTAATGGTTTGAGTCGATCAGCAGAAAGCACTGCCATTTTAGCTAATGAGAAAGTTGATGGCATTGGCCTCACAAAGACACTAGAGGATAGAGGAGAAACAAAGAAATTTGTTCCAAACAACATTTTAATAGAGCAGAGAGAACAAGATGGGATCAGCCAAGCAGTGGAGAAGGATGCTGACAAAAGAATTGGAAGGAAAGAAAAGAACACGGAGGAGGAAGCTTATGGTAGAAAAGTAGAAAGACACAAGGACAGAGATTGGGATAAGGACAAGAGCAAACTTGAAGTGAAAGGAAAAGATCAGGAAAAAAGTAGTCAGAACTGTGAGCGAAAACATAAAGAATACGATGAGATAACAGACATGGGTAAAAAGGTTCATATGGATATTCCAAATGCAGAACTGATAGCTTCTGCAGAAGACCAGAAGAGTAGCAATACTCATGAAAATAAGAAAAGAAAGGAACTTGAGATGAATGGCCTTGTGCATGGTGCGTAATCCTTTTTAGTGGTTCAATTTAGCTGCTTTTCTTTGATTCTACAAGCGCCATTTATTTTATGATATCCTAGGTATCTTTTTTCTCTGGTTATTGGTTTGAATTACCATGCTTGCTTTGTCATTTCAGAGAACAATTTGCTTCCTAACAAGTTCCAGAGAACAACTGCATCCGACCTTTTAGCAAATGGGAAAATAGTGAACTTATCCCATAATGCTTGTTCTTCCATGAGTTCTGGGGCCTTAAACAACAGCAAGGCAGGAAAGCACCCTGTAGATAAAAAAGAACACATTACAAAAGACATAAAAGCAGCGCAACCATCATCAGATGGCTTGAGGCATCCGGCTGTTATGCACATGAAACCTCCTCATCCAGACTCCAAGTATCTTGATGAAATGTACTCTGTTCCCAAAATGGATGATTATCCAGAATATGATGACCAGGATTGGTTATTTTGCAGAAGTCACCTTCATTCAAACCCAAGGACAAAGCTTGAGGCTGATGAAAGACCCCGAGTGTGGGCCAAGGCAATAAGAATTGGGTCCGAAAATGTTGTTGCTTTGCCCTATGTCATTCCATTTTGATAACGGACACTCATTATACCTGAACTGCCTGATTCCTTCTGAAGATGCGGTAGCAGGATCAAGATACGCCACTTTGTTCCTTGTTGCTGCCTTTCGTTTTAAAAGCCTGTTCTTTCAGGTGCAAGTTCTGACTTGTTGCATCAGTATTACATGCCACTTACAATGTCCTGGACCGTTTTAAGTTGGATCTTCACTCACTTGTGATGCTCGAGATGTGGAATGGCTCTGAGCTTGCAGGATTTGGAGGATGTGTCAAGATATGCTCATATCTGTATCATATCAAGTCGAAATGAGCTTGTTTGCTGAAAATTTTCGGGTCCATAAAATAGAGCAGAGATCTTGGCTTATTATATAGCTTTTGAATTGGTTCGAAATGATCACCCTTATCATGGATACAAAAGGGTTTTCCTGCTACACTATTGCACAATTTCATGTAAAGCTTTTCATAACTTTAAATGTACAGTAGAAGGGGGAGAGAAGAAAACTAGAGATAATGTTGTCATTCATTGATATCTTATCATAGGCTGACTTTGTTTTTATTTAGGGAGAGGTTGATATAATAGAGGCTCCGTTAGCATGAGTTCTGAAAGTGCAATGACATTTTTTTTTGGTTGCACTAGCTGAAATCACTTTGCATCTTAGACAATTTTTCATATGGTGGATGCTCAAGTAGCTCTCGAGATAGATGATCTTGCTTATTGAAGCCACTACTAGGAAAATACAGCAAAGATACCAAGTAGCTATACAATTTTTTCCAGTGTAGTCTTTACGTTTTTTTTTTCCTAGTCTAAATTTGTGTTTGTTGCATAACAATTGTAAATGATGTTCAAGACATGTCCTATATCAATTCCATTTAAATGTCTTTTGTTTCGAGATATTGTCAGAACCTATTTTGTTTTCTAACGACAAGATGTGGTTGGAGTTCGGAAACTGTACTATGTTATCCTGTGTAACTTTCGGCATTCTTAAATCATTTAATTCCTTCAGTGTCGAGTTGTAACCTTTGATATCCTGCAATTCTTTTCAACCGTGTGTTGTATGATATTGTTTGTGGATTCAGCTTGATTTTGTAATAGTGTTTGCCTTGTTCATCATGGAATTACACTGTACATGCAATTTTCTCCCAACCCTTTACATCAAGGATTGTGCAACTTCTTTTGTACCTCTGCCCTACTTTGCTATCCTCATTTTCTCAGATTTGACACAATTAATGTTTAGTATTTTTTCATGAAAATAGTTGGTGTTGTAGTCTCTTTTTAATTAGAAGCAACAAGAATTTGTTGCTTCATCAGTAATATGCTGTAGTTTCTTTTCATTCTTTTGAAACATATTCGAATCAAAATTTGCAGTTACGACATGTTCTATTCATATCTGAACTTCACAAATGATTTATTATTAGCACTCTTTTTTTTTGGTTCTTTGTTTCTTTTCCACTCAAAACTTTATCCATCTGATTTGGTCATACTATTTTAAATGAAGATGTTAAGTCGTTTTGTATATATTATGTAAGGCTTTCAATCCTTACCCCTCTGGGATTTAATCATATCGAACGGAAGAGAAAGGAGACGAAAGCGAAGAGGATTAGATGAAGTAGAGTGAGCAAACAAAGAAGAGAACCAATTTATCACTGTATCATCTCATGACTGCTCATAGTCATTTGCATAAACAAATATATTAAAAAATCAAAAGAAACATGATGATGACGTTTGCTAAAGATCGAAGGGAATCCGATATCTCTACCAATCCCACACTAAGGCTCCAAGAATTCATCTGACGTTTTGGCTTAAGTACTTGACAGCTTCTACAACGTTTTTAGCGATGTTGACGACCACCTTGGCGACCGTCTTCGTCCCTCCGGCGAGAAGACCGGGGAAAGCCTCCGCCGCCGAGCCAAACACTCCTCCCACCTTCACCGACACATCCTTGACCTGCGCAACGGTGGAATTGAAGGCCGCCGCTGCCGCGGTCGTCGTCGTTCCGTCTACCCTGACGATGGACACGAGCACATCCTTGATGAGGCTGAGTGCGAACTCAAGCAGCTCGGTGACGCTGTGCCTGACGTGACGAAGGAAGGAGTATATGACGAGGCCGGGCAGTCTGAGGACCCAAAGGAGGAGGAGAAAAAGAACGGCTGTTCCCTTGAAGAGCACAAGAGACGCCACGTCCACCAGTGAGAGGAAGCCATCGAGCACCAGTTTGAGGGATGCAAGCGCCATTGTCGTCGGGATCAACGAAGGCCTCCGCACGAGGAAGAGACTGAGGCGAGGAGCTGCACGTTGAAACTTGTATCGTTTGTTTTATTGCAGCGTCCGCATCGTTCAGGCAGCAATCACTCTTTCCGTGGTCAAATCATCATCACCATCGTCATCATCGATCGATCGAGAGAGAGACGGTGTCGCTGTAAGACTTAGGGAGGAGCCATCAGGCCGTGCACTGCAAATCTGACGGTTGGGATGGAAGGAGAGCGCTCCGTGATTCGTGCCGTGGCACATAATTGGTCTCCATCCTGTAGCTGGTGGAGCATAAGAAACATCACACCTTAACATTCTGCATGAAAGGGAGTTGTTTTATGCAAAGAATTATTAGGTTAATAATTGTTATTATTATAAGTTTAGGTCAGAGGGATGAATGGGTCAGAGGAGACTAAAAACTTCGCCACAATTAACACCATTGACATGCCTCCAAGGTGCTACACACAGGCCACGCAAACCCTAAGTCATTAACTTGATAATATATATATATATATATATATATATATATATATATATATATATATATATATATATATATATATATATATTTGAGAGTGATCTCAATCCGAAGAAGAACATCCAAATTGATCGAGTCCACTTCTCCAAGCCGAAGAAAATTGATCTACAACGAGTTGACCGTGAAAGATGTGTTCGGTTGAATTCTCCTTTCACGTTCGAATTAGAACCTTTCTAATTTATGGACAACTTGTTGGTATTATATATATATATATATTAGTCATATTTCTCTGCAGACCACACCGACTGTGGTCTGTCCATGTTTCAAGATGCATGAACCCGTATCTCATGTGATCAATAAGGCAGTGGAAAGAAAGCAGGTTGGATTCAGTGTCGGCTGCAGCTGCTGTGAATAAGCATCAATCATTATTAACCTGTGACATCTCACTGCAACACTGAGGTGAAAGAGAGCTCTGGCAGCACCTTAATCATCATCCTTTGTCATCATCTGGGATGATTTTGATTGATTTTATTGTGATTGTGTACCATCAGAATGGACCATAACGAAGGGCGAATCTCGGAAAAATTCCTTTTTTTAGGTATTTATCAATATTATATATTTTTTAAAGATCATTTCTATTTATCATAATTTTTAAAATATTTTTATAAGATAATATAAGTCTATTAAAAAATATTATAATCACATCGACCGATCCAAATCAGCGGATCAGTTCGAGTTATTACTATGTATTGCCATGAGTATTTTGGAGAATATAACAAAAAGGGTATTAATTAAAAAATAAAAAAAAATACGTCTCTTGAGAAAAGTTCAAAAAAATATTTTTCTAAAAATTCGCCCTAAAATGAATCCAAAGGTTCGTACGAGAATAGTTTGCTGAGGAGTTGTTGGTCAAAGAACAGCCAACGAATTCAGATGAGTGTAATGGTAGAAGAACCCCTGCGTTCTCTATGTAGTTTCTGCTTCCCTTCACCATCTGCCCATTGCGTTAGCAAAGCATCGCTGGAACATGTTGGGGAAAGAAGCTACCGACCATGAAACCTGTTGCTGCTGAACATTTCGCCATGAGAATCCAAAGAGGAGACTTCTGATTCTTTTATTTTAATGGTCATGTGATGTTCCGAGGCATGCAAGATAATGTCTTGTACAGTAATCCAGGATTTCTTATTCTTTTAATGGTCATGTGATGTTCCTTACCATGCAAGATCATGTCCTGTACAGTAGTAGCTCATTGCAAAGGCACACAGGCATGATTCATGGTGCCGTGAAATGACAAGGAATTCCAGCATACAATCTAAACAAGTAGTCAGTCGCAGAAAGCAACACAATCAAAAGGAAGAACAAAGAAAATGAGGGGAGGAGGCTTACTTGGCCAAAATTGAGTAGCCATGGCATAAGTTGGAACTTTAGGCAAGCCTTGCATCAACCTCTCACATAGGTTTAGCACATAATTCAGGCAGCTCTCAAAGCATATCAAATTGCATGTCGCTGATTTCGACTCATAATCAACAGATTGCTTGCTAAAGCAGGGAAAGCACAAGATGGAGTAGGTACGACTAGGAATGGCAGCTAGCAGAATCATTGTTAGCTTCATCATATCCGTATTTGGAGTAGACATGAATGCTTGAGAAGATGGAAATAACATTCAAATGAATCTAAAAGAATAAAAAGTGATTTTGATCTCCCATGTCTTCTCATGCAGGGGAGGTGCAAGGTCAACCTCCATGAACAGTTTTCATGTCGTTCAGTGAAGTTCCCTATTTCCCTGTTGAATCATTTGAATCATATATCTAGTTTTCATGTCGATTTACCCACCTAATTCCGTTGACTTCCTCGGCAATGTGAACCTCGGAATCTTTGGCTTCTTTATCATTGCACTAGAAAATGACTCCCCAACGGACGCGCCGCGCCGGATGGCTCCCGTGCTGCAGTCAAGCAGCGGAGTGGTGGAGAAGCCTCGCCCCTGTCGCGAGGCACAGGTCCCAAGTGCACGGCCACTGCCTGCGACAGCCGTGAGCACAACGGAGTCCATGGAGGGGGCCTCGCTCCCCCTTCCCACTGAGGAGACCAACAACAGGGCCCGACAGTTCTCTTCCTTTTCTTTATTCCCCGCGCTTTGTGATGCACGAACAAAAGCGGCGAAGCGCACGCATTCAAAGGGAGCGGAGAGATAAAGAGCAGTTCTTTTGCTCTGCTACCAAGCGTATCTCTTTTCTCTGGTAGCTGAAGTAGTTCGACTTGCCTTGAATGCTTTTCGCTTTTCTTCCGTGTAATTTCCTGCGAAGGTCGCCGCCTCCCTCCCTCCCAGCGTTTCTTGCAAGCTGCTGAGCTATTAACTCTGCAGGCTGTGAGCTCTGGAAACTGAAGAGAAGCGCAGCAGCCATCTCTGCAACTGACCATGCCGCCGCACACAGAGGCGACCTTCCTTTTTCTTCTTCTACTCTGCTTCTTCTCTGCCACAGGTGATGCTTTGTTTTCTTTCCTCGATGCTCTCCGCCGAGTATTCTTCTCTTGCGCTGCCCAAGTTTGGATTTTGACGCCGCAAGATCCTCTTTTTACCTCTTCTCGGTGCTCTTTAACGCGCTGTCGTCGTCTGTGGCAGCTAAAGGTGGGCGCTTTGCGAGGCTGGGCATCAACTATGGCACCCTCGGCGACGATCTCCCCTCCGCCGCTCGCTCTGTGCACCTCCTCCACTCTATTGGCGCCGGCGCAGTCAAGATCTATGACGCCAACCCGGCCATCCTCCGCGCACTCGCTGGCACCCGCTTCCGCGTCTCCATCATGGTGCCCAACGAAATCATCCCCTCCCTGGGCGTCAACGCCTCCGCCGCCGACGCCTGGGTCGGCACCAACCTCGGCCCCTTCTACCCCGCCGTCCGCGTCCGCTACCTCCTCGTCGGCAACGAGATTCTCTCCTACACCTCCCTCGCCAACTCCACTTGGCCCTTCCTCGTCCCCGCCATGGTCAACATCCACCGCGCCCTCAGCGCCCGCTCCATCCGCGACGTCAAGGTCGGCACGACCCTTGCCATGGACGCCCTCGTGACCTCCTTCCCGCCCTCCGCAGGCGCCTTCCGCTCTGACATCGCTGAGCCGGTGATGCGCCCTCTACTCCGTTTCCTCCACAGGACCCGCTCCTACTACTTCGTGGATGCCTACCCTTACTTCGCCTGGGCCTCGAATCCCTCCTCCATCCGCCTCGACTACGCCCTCTTTACCTCCAATGCGAGCTTCAACTACTTCGACCCAGGGAGCAAGC